TCTCTCTCTCTCTCTCTCTCTCTCTCTCTCTCTCCTTCTCTCTCTCGCTCTCTCTTATTCTCTTTTTTTCTTTTCTTTCCCCTCTGAGGTGCTACGGTTGTGTATGCTTCCTTGCAGCACGGAGGGAAATACGTATTTTGGCGAGTATCCCCAATGTATATAGAAACATAACTTTAACCCTTTTGGTGCTGAATCGTTTTCATCTACTTTTCTAAGGAAAACATAACAATATTCATTCAATAGAGATGTAAAAGAGCCATCACATATAATCATTCCTCTTTATTAAGAATAAAAATTACATCGCTAAGTTCATAAGATAATTGCCTAAGTCATTGTTGGCCGGTTGGGAGCTATTGGTTCTGAAATAAAAAGCTGATGCAGCTCGGTATTAAATAGTTCACATGGACAAATGATGAATATAATCCAAATAATAACTCAGCAGGGGGTACCAGAATCCAAACGTTTCACACAGTCGATGTAGGAAAGAAAATATTTTTTTGTTTGTTTTCTCAAAATGGCAAAAAATGACTTTTAGATTTGTCTACCTCGGAATTGCTCAGTGCCTAGTTTTGAGAAATTTGTCGTCAAAGATTCTGAGTTTCACATCCCCTCAAACTTTTCGAATGCAATTTGTTAAATAGCTTAAAGACGACTCCGAGTAAGCTTATGCTATTAATAGGGCAGATAGAACATAATTTGTTTTCTGACCTCATAGTCTTAGTAAATCAAAACGGCCAAAGATGTCTGATACAACTTTGTGATTCTGAGGTAGCAATTTATCTCATGAGCGTGACGATATGTGACTTCACGAGATGACGTCTTCCAGAATGTCCTCTATAAACTAATGAACAAAAAATGACACAGGACTAGTTTTGGAGAACAGAAACAAGTACATACGTCTTGTCTATTCAGCATTTCAGAGTCTCAGATACGGACTTTGTCTTATATGATATACATAAACCTATTACCGCCCACAGGCATGAAGAAGAAAATTAGGTCAAATTATCAGGCTCGTTAAAATGAATGACGGAATGGGTGACGGCATTGGTTTGGCATCATTGGTCACTACGTGACGAACGGCGCTGAGACGATCTCTTACTTTTGTCCCCGCAACATTTGTCACACTTACCCGTTCTTTGTGATGCCGTTATGTGGCGAGGGGTGGTCGAGTGGTTTGGCCACAGAACGTTGAACTGAAAGGTCGTGGGTTCGTACCCGTCAGGGGTTCGGCATTGTGTCTTTGGCTGAGGCACTTAACTCGAATTTCCCTAATTACACTCTGGTGGGAATGAGTACCGAGCTATAGACAGCAAAAGATCTTGTCAGTTTGTAAAGTGTTTCTTAATCGGCTTATTTTTTGTGTGTACTGTATGCTTCCCTGGAATCTGAGAATGTTTCTGAGTGTGCTAGGGTTTGCTGGCGTAATGATATCGATTGTACAGAGCATCAAACTAGCTGTAAAACATGGGTGTGCGCAATACAATTTATGCTGTTTATTTATCTTATGCTATTTTTTGTTATCTGTAAGACTCAGCGTGTGACAGTCCCGTCGTTTTGGAAAACACGTTATACAACTTGCTTGTACCCGTATACGTGTAATGAAAGTCACTTTGCCACGCAGTAAACTATATTTTCGAAAATTACAAAATTACGTTAATCGTTCTCCTCGATCTTGTAGGAAAACAGAACATGTTTCTATTCTTTTAAAATAATAGACAATAGACAGCATTCGCATTGTGCAAATTCCCGTTGAGCAGTAAGCTCTATGCGCTTTACAATCTATAATATTAATACCCCAGCAGACCTGGTATCCTTCTGAAACTTTCGCAACTTCCTGGGAAGTATACAGTGCAAGTTGCCATTCTTTTAAACGCTAAAACAATAACATACTGAAAAGATCTTTCGTTGTCTTTAGACGGGTACCCATTCCCACCTCGTGAAGTGAGAAAAATTCTACATCGTATAAAGTGACTTTCCCAAGAACACAACTTCTTGTCGTTATTCAAACGTCTTTACAATTCACGTTTTAATATGTTACTTAAAAAGCGGGCAACAATGCGCATACTATTACGAAATACACAACATTGTGTTTCTTATTTGTGTATGATTGTTGGAAATGTACAGAAACGTTGCATTTAGCCTGATGCTGATCAGTCGTAGTCATTATCCTCTTAAACAGCAGGACCCCCTCACCGGATAGTCCTTTTCCGATCTTTTTTTCAGTTGTTTGTATCTCCAAAGCATAAGTGTTTCTTTTCTCGATTAAAAAAGATAAAAGAAGCCAACAACAATGTTTTAAAATATTTTGTGGATGGTTGGTGGGTCCTCTGTTGTGGCTTGCTCCTTCTTTCCTATCAAATATCTCTCGTCCTTGTCTCTCCTCGTTCTTTTTAGTTTGTTACTCTCTTGCTGTTCCTCTAATCTTGACAGTTATAATATTATAACCCTTATCGTATTACAAAAATTAAGCTAAAAATATATTTAGAAAATAACAATTGTTATCGCTGACACGTTCCATGCAAATAGAATGAAGGATAAAGAAGATTTAGGCAAATAATTGCCTCAAAATGAGAACAAGAAGTTGGTTTTTGTAAAAATGGTTGAAAAATGAAGTACTACCTTCGTATTTCAAAAGGTAGTTTAAAGAATTAATAAGATTTTCCTAAATTTCCTCAATATTATTTTAGGAATTAAAAGCGGCTCAACTTGATTGACCGATAACCACTCAAATTTCAT